CAGACCCGGCGTGCGGCGCCGGCAGGTACTGCTGGGTAGCGGGGGGTCAGCAGGGGCACGGCCAGGGACTGAGACCATCGCTTGGGTTGCCTCCAAGGCCAAACCCTGCGGTGGCACAGGTGAGGCTGCAGACAGAGATATGCAGCACCCAACGATGGGGACATGCACAAAGATTTCAGCTGCTAATAAGTAAATGCTCATTAGCAAGCTAATTCTTACAATTGTAAGTTGTTGGCTAGGTTTTTGTGCTGCTGAGGGCTGCTGTCGATGCCTCGCTCCTGCGCCTTCGGCATCACATCCAGCCCACGCAGGCACAGGGTGCACCGTGGCAGGGGAGGATGGGACGAATGGCTTCTCGCGGGGAGAAGAGCACGTCCACCTCCAGGTGTCCCAGCTGGCGCTGGTTAAACCAGCGCTTAAAGCTCTCCCAGAGAGACGTCCCTCCTTCTGCTGCTTAGGGGACTTTTACACATCAAAATCGGGTTTCGTTATGATGCCAGAAACCAAAGGGAGATGTCAGAAATTATGCACAGGATGGCACGAACCGCCCCGACGCCACAGAGGAATTCAGAAGTTTCCAGAATTAAAAATTGTTTCAGAAGACGTTGCCAGTGGTCATTCTGGTCGTATTGCTGTTATTTTCAGAAAAGCATATAAAGACAGGAGTGGTTCCCACCGTTCTTACTCCCGCAGGCAGTTGCGTGCATCCCCAGACCCTCAGGGCGCAGCCCAGGGCCACCTATAAGCCGGGGTGGTCTCCCTGCATGTCCCCAGGGACCAGCACAGGACATGCTCATGTAGGGTTACAATTTGAAGGGCTTGCTAAGCCTGAAGCAGATTTTGCTGTATGGTCTTGCCCGAGCCTAGGACCAGAGAGGGCTGGGGCACAGCCGGGCATCCCCCTGCGAGGTGTCCCAGCCCTAGCAAAGGGACGAGGTGGCTGCAGGGCCACCCCGTACCTACTTGCCTCCCGTTCCGCAGCCATGGATGGGACGCACATCGGGTGGGATGCCATGAACAACTGCACCGATCAGCAGTACTGGGACACCCTCGTCTGCCAGTGCATCCCCTGCAGCCTCGTATGCGGCCGGCCCACAGTGAGGAGGTGTGCTGCCCTGTGCGGTGAGTGTCGGGCGGCCGGTCGTGGGCACCGTGGGCTGTAGCCCTGAGCGGCCGGTCTTGGAACGGGGAGG